GACTGAACCGTTTATCGACACTGACTTATAACACCACACAGCTGACTGAAGTGAAAACGGATATGAAAAATAATGAACAGAGTGGAAGTGTCATGTGAGTCCATTCAGGCAACCTATACAATGCTCCGCATCTCATGCTGTGAGGCCACGCTCGCTGAGTCGACTCCACTCAATCTCTCCAACGGCGGCAACATTTGAGTCTGCCGGCTCCACTCGATGACAACGTATCTCGTCCTTGGCGGGATCCCGTCGACGAGGCAACATCCTCAAGTCGGCACAAAGAGCAGGTACAGAAATGGATAGAGTATAGCGGCATAAGGCAACCTGAGGAAGGGAGATATTCACATTCATGCTACGCCACAACAGGTTACCTCAACAAGGGACTCCACTCGTGGGTCCTGACCAGGCTTCCAGTCCTCCCAGTCATCAGGACACGCCAACTTGACCAACACCTAAGAGTGTTCTCTCATCAGAACAGACATGTCCCCCATACCGTACCGATCTCGTCTCGTTATTCTCGTGACATATGCTGCCATTGCCGAGCGTGTACATAACCTCACGTCGAACGACTCTGGGCCATCGACGACCCTACAGCACCACCGATCAACCACAGCATACTATGAAGGGGTAATTACACGGTCGCTAGAAGATAGAGCCATGGAGCTCATAGTGAAACGAGGCACTCGGGCAGCAAAGGTATCCTCGTCAGCCTCAAGAGCTTCTCGACTACCCTACGAGGGGAGAGCATATAGCAGCAGCACTACACATCAGCTCCTCACATTGATGATGTTGCCCAGAAGATGCGGCCTGCCGTCGATCTGAAGCACCCTGTAATGACACAGTTGCGAGTGTTTGTTACCTCTCCTGTGGCCGATGCCACGTGGTACTGCCACAAAACATGAGGGTAACAGTATTGGTAAGACCAGTATCCAATGGTGAAATTGCTACACTCAGAAGAGGTCGTATAAGAACCACCGTACAGTGATCGAGACTTGCGCTGAAACGAAAACATGC